CTTCGTGTAGGTTAATATTGTTGATATGTAACTTAAATTAGTTTAAAACTAACAACTTCTTAGCAACCTAATGTAGATTTGTCAAATGTTAGAAGCTCCACTGGACTACTTAATGCACTACTTAATGGTTTGTAGCCAGACAGCCAGTTTCTTGAATGTTTGCTTAAACATTCATCTGGAATGTCATCTTAATACCTCCATCAATTTAAAAATCTGCTATAATCTATAGGGTGAGTTATATTATGTATTCTCAAATCCTCAATGTATCAAATAACATTGAATTAAAGGGCCTCCAGTGAGACTAAGGTTTTGAAATTCCACTGCACATTCATGTCAATATTCATGAAATTTGATTTCTTAACGCGAGAGTAAACTTATATGATTTACATCTTGTTAAAGACGATAAAATAAAAACCGACTCCGTAGAGGAAGTCGTAATTTTTTAGATTTTTTTACTGTATAACAGCAACACCGAAGTGCTGTGCTACTCGTATGTGGTAAAATAATTAAACTTCTGTTCAGTGGAGTCGTTTTAGCGAATTTCTTATATATGGGATAAGCTATTACCGTAAGTCTCATCTTAAGACCTGGACCTGGAACCGATTTACTTGTTCGTTTTTGAGGCCCCAGAGGCCAAAAAAACACCATCCATTCAGATATATTATTTATGTACCATATATATGTTCGTTAACGCAATAAATTTGAGCATAAAATGATCAGATTTTGATGAAATTTAGTAAAAACGTGTAAACCTTCGTCTATTTGAACAAGTTCATGAACCAGCATGATCGGACTATGGGAATGGGGGTTTATGGGTGGTTTAATGGGTTAAAAATTGGGGTTTTTCATTTTTGACCCTAAAAACAGACAGTAAAATCTCAAAATTTCTTTTCAAACAGTTTTTAGAGCTTAAAAAAGGAATCAATTAATACATTTAAGCGTCATTGTATGCCTAATGTTTGTGGAGAAAATTTAAAAAAAGTTTTAATGAAAAATCCCAACGTTATTCTTATTGAGAATAAATAAACTGTTGTAGCTTGCTTGTTTGTGGATGTATTTTAATGCAATTTGGCAATTTTGTTTATTTCATACTGTGCTTAAACACATTTATTTTTTTTTTATTTAAAAAACAACTCATTACATTTCCTGCAGCAGCAAATCCTCACTCAAATTAATGCTATTGAAATACGAAACATTCTGACAATTTTAAGGGAATTTTTTAGTGGGAATCTAGTAAATGGAAATTTACTAAGTCTGCAGGTTTGCTGTGACGGGGGTATATGTGTTTAACTTTGTTTCCTCTAAAAAATCGATGGAAATTGACCAAGTCTGATTTCGCATCAAGGCATAACATTACGCGGTCATCAATATAATTCAACATTGATACAGGTTTTAAAATCCACACTCATTCAATGCACCCTTTGTCATTTCCAACTGGAAAATCACGAAAAAATTCCCTTCAGAAAACATGTAGGTATATGTAGCAGGATCGGCAACCAGTCCCGTTATTCCAGTTTGGGTCAAGGTTGTGGCAGCTTACTACTTGACGATGCTGCTCGCAGTCTATATTATTTCCCTACATTTTGCGCATTTAAATTACAGGGCATTTAAACTGCATGCCCATTTACTTGGCTCTTAACATTTAAATTTCACCCAATTGGCCAGATAATTACATACTGTATCTGCAATTTTACTTCCCAATTTATTTACAAAACAAAAATGTTAAGTAGTTTTGAAGGCCTTTTGTTTTTAAATTCCAGTATTAAAAAAATGAAAACCATGACAAAAATAATATGATTTAGGATTTAATTTAAACACAACCCTTACGTGGATTTTTTGGAATATTCGTCATTTGAGAACCAAGTTTGTAAGCGAGTCTGTAATTTTCTTTTCTACGATGATTGTTTCTAAGTAATCACTTTTCCAAAAACATAACTTTCAATTGAATTATTGTTGAAATCAACATTTTAAGCGTGTACATTAAGTGTATCTATAAAATTGAATTAACATATGCAAGAATAAAAAGAAATTACGAAACCTAGGCCTATTTATTATATTTTTTTTTTATTAAAACTTAAAGTAGTAACATTTGTACATAACTATTCGACAGTTCTTTTAAAACAATATTTTGAGAGGCTTTAAATAGTTTGAAAATCCATGGTGGAGGTGAATGTCATCAAATTTGAAGGGTGAGTTTCATAAAGGCAGCTAAATCTAGATCAAACAATCCAAATCATAACCCCTCATACAATCTAAAAGTCATTACAGAATGTATTAAAGTAGTTTATTCAGCCGTTTTGATCTCCAATAGCCTACATCGTCATCACACATACAAATTTATGATTCAGAAAATAAACCAAAATTTTGTAAAAGTTAGCATTGTACGATAGACTTAAGACACGAGTAGAAAATTTAAAACGTATACGAGTGTCTTAACGAATAATCACGCGAGTTGCGTACACTAATTTTCCTACAACCGTTTTTTATTTACCTACAATCACTACTTCTAACGTCTAAGAGAGGTTATGTTTCCGTTTATAACCTCTCATTGCCACTGATTATAATGCAACGACTCATTGTCCCAAACGTTGGTCCCAACCACTGACTTATTCTATAATCAAATTATTGGCCGTAACAGCTGATAAGTTGATGTTCGAAGCGTTAATTTTACTTATTTTCTCTCAATCCTTGAACCTTATTGGTCCAAACTTGTACTAAGCAACAAAACAATACTGTTAAGTGAATCTTTTAAGTTCTAAGAACTGAATTTAAAATACAAGATAAAAAACGGTCGTAGGTAAAAGTATTGAATACATACAGTATATATCAAATTTTTTTAAAGATTCTAAATTTAAACTATAACGTAATTCTGAGACATCAGATTATTCTAAACTTGCGATGGGTACATAATATATAGCTGAGATTCTAAGTACAGGAAGAAAAATAAATTTTTCATAATTTCTTCAAAGGAGCAAAAATATTGTCTTGGAATTTTTTGTCACTATGCAGCGAAAACAGATGTAGGCTATTTAATACATGCATTGCGGGTCTGAATTCACTCTTTTTCTCGCTAGGGCTAAAAATCAGCTGGAGTCGTATACATCAGCTGTACACTGCGCGTACATTTTCCTGTCTGGGAAATTCCTCCACTTATTTTTCCAAAGACAATAGTTTCAATTGATCAAATGATCATCGTGGTGTGATTAAAATGTGCGTGTTTGTCATAGTGTCATATTGTGTATCTCACGTCAATTGCCTTTTTTCGACATTTCTACATATTAAAACAAAAAATGTTCATTAAATTTTAATTCAATTATTGTTTTCGGCTTAGTAAAACTACATGTTGCTATTAAATACCTGTTTTTGTGTGATTATTATCAAAACTATATGGTAAAAGATGTATAAACAAATAGCATAACCCCTACAGTTGTTGAATTGTGTCAATAATTGATTTAAACCTTGTGTCGGACTTGAATTAGCAAGCAGGAGTCTCCTACCATTGTAGAATCTGGGGCGAGTTTTGATGTTGCATGTTACATGTTCTTCCAAAAGTCGACTACCTTTACTTTAAGGTAAATTTGACGGTTCGTCCATCACAATACATTTTTGGTTAATAATACCAGTGGTTACCAGGAGAGGCCGAAACAGTTTTCAAAGTTAACAATTGTTTTGAAGAGTAATAAGTCTACAGATTTAGAACTGCAGTTGTCAAATGCTTATGCTCCTAGCTATTTGGGCCGAAACAATTTTTTTTGTTGAAAATCACTTAAGTTCCAACCTCGTAGACCTACGAGTTGCAATTGTTGCGAGTTTATTGGGTTCCTACATTTCTAACTACTACAATTGTTCCCAAATGCTTGACTGCCTAATACCATAGACACATGAATTACAATTCATGACTCGCATCTACGGATTTTTAATTGGTCTGGGTTCAAGCTCTTTACCTTACACCTCCCACAAGTCACAGCCCATCAGCCCCTGCAGGTCGCGCCACCAGCCACCTGTACTACCAGGGCTGTAGTTTATGCACGACTGCGCGAGAAGTGTTCTTTCGTCGGATTACTGTATAACCGTTAACTCAAGTGAAACCGGCCTCCTAACTACGTCCTATCCTCCTATCGTGCCTACAGGCGCATCACCTTACAGCCTGGGAAATTCCTCCACTTATTTTTCCAAAGACAATAGTTGCAATTGATCAAAATGATCATCGTAGGGTTATTAGGTGAAATTGTGTAGTCTTGTTTTCTATGAACCAAATCGAAATATGTCCATTCGGACGGTTACCGTTGTTAACTGTCATATGGCTTTAATGCCAAAACGATTTGATAAACACACAATACATTCACCGCACAAATGTATCAGCAGTTTTTAAACTAGTATTCAAACAAATCTTCTCGTTTGAACAACAAAATATTTATTCTCAGATAATAACCATATTTTATAATACTGTGCGCTTAGGAACTGAGTTGCTTGTGACAGTCCAACTTGGAAAACAACATTGCATTTATTTAATTCCGATATCTTGCATATTTCCTTTATCCTGTGGTTAATAGGCATGTCGAACTATTTTGAAGTATATCAAATTTAGATTTATGCTAAGTGCGATATTTCACTAAATAATAATAATAAATCCAAAGAGGAAGTTTCGTCTCTTAGACTTATGATGTAAATTTGATTATGTTTCTAACAAAATAATTATTATTTAGCTACAATACAAAATAATATTTTCATGGGTCCCATTTACAATTGCAATGTGGATGAAAGTTATCAGAGAAATTTGATTTTCCTACATTTATCTATGTGAAATAGGGTTAAATTTTGTTTGATTGTCCTGACATGGTAACACTGTTCATAATATGACATAGTCTGTTTGTGTTGTGTTACCAAGTTGATGTTGTTTGATTATGCTCAGCATTTGATCATAATCTGTTTGTGTTCTTTTGTCATGTTGGCATGGTTTGATAATGTTCAGTGTTTGATCATAGTCTGTTGTGTTGCAGGATTTGGTCGGAACATCCGCCACCTCCCCTGTCTGAGTCGCAGGACCGGCGAGACTGGAGTCTGCATGTTCGCCTTTTCCTGCGCCAAGGCCAATGGCACTCACCTCGGAACGTGCATCGACCGCTTCTACTTCGGCAGCTGCTGCAAACTCGCCGAGCAGAACGATATAGTCGCCGAGCCCATAGATAACAATCATATCGCAGAAGAATTCCCCACTTTGTCCACGGAAAGCTACCATATTTCCACCTACCAATCCGTGCACAACGTAAAAAATACTACGGCAAAACCGGCCGTTCAGTCAACGACAACGCCTAGAAATAAACCAGAATCTACGACACCAAAACCCGCAAAGAAACCGACGACGAAACCACCAGTAAGTGTCACCTCAGCGTACACAACGAAACCGTTCACATCCAGCAAACCGTACACGGCCAACACGGCCAAACCGAAACCTTCCAGTCGACCGTCGCTAAAGCCACCGAGTACTGGAAAACCCTCCTTGACCTCCAAACCCTCATCATCCTCTAAACCCTCCACTAACACGACCTCTTCCAAGCCGCCACCGTCAAAACCCTCTTCAAAACCCCCTTCAAAACCCTCTTCTTCAAAGCCAACGTCGAGACCGTCCAGCAAACCCTCGGTATCGTCAAAACCAAAACCCTCTAATGCGACAACTTATGCAAAACCTGGACCGACGAAACCCGTCAACGGAACTGCCACCAAGCCGTCAAAACCGTCACCTACAAAAAGACCGACAATCTCGACATCCTCAAAGCCTTACATAGCCACACAAAAACCGTCGCTGTCGACGTCAAAGCCATCGTCGAAACCTACGAACAAACCAAAGCCTTCGTCGGCGAGACCTCCGACAAAACCAACAAGACCAGTACCATTGGTGACGGCGTCGACGACGGACCCTAACTACGTCAAGTTGCCGGTGGTGACCGCCACGACACAGAGACCGACCTCCGAGGTGACGGTCATCAGCAACGAGGTTGTACCGAAGCCCGCATCAGAGACACCGACCAACGTGTCATTGGAACACGAAGAGGAATCCTCCAACGTGATCGGTCCAACCACCGCCTCACCACTATTGGTCACTTGGACCACCGTTGACGAAGTGCCTGTGCCTCCCCTTCCCAAACCAGCCTCCACGCCGAGCTCCACTCCCGTCAAAAGTGAGTCGTTATTGTAAGATTTCAAATAGATCGATTGTATAAGTTACAATGCATGAGTTACATCGATGGTATAAAGTACAGTATTGCATTTTGGGTTTAATGATTGCTCTGCAACGGATACAATGTAGACAATTAATTAAGTTACCACTTCTCTGTGGTTGAAAGGAAATGAATTAGAGCTGATTTAGAAGGCTCAAAGTAGTTATTTTAGCGCCTGTATTCCAAAAGCTATCCCGTTGATCAAATGCGAAATAGCTATCCTAACATAGATGATAAAATCCTCTTGCATTAAAAAATTATGTTATGATTACTATGGGCAAAGAAACTATAACAAAACATATATTCCGTTTTTGCATGTGGTACATTACAATTTTGTAATCCGCTCAATCAATTGGCAAATAAAATCAGAGAAAGTATAATTCCTCGATGGTTGATATGACGTTTTACGATTTCAGATGAAACGAAGCCAACGACAACTTTTACAGAGACTACGCAATCCTCGCCAACTTGGGTACAAGTTTCTGTCTCTACTCCATCTTCTGCTACAGGTATGAGTGTGATCTTAATTTACATATGCATTCCTTCACCTAAAGAATCTGAACACCTATAGCCCTTCATTGATTTTACAATTATGAAAACAAGTTTAAATTGTCTACTGCTTCAGGCCTTCGTTGCAACAAGACTCTAAAAATAGGTAGTTGGATCAGATCATGCCTAATTGGTGCTTGTCAGTTTTAGCAGCCAAATTTTCCTAAAGTTAGGTTGGGAAATCCTGATGTATAATTATGTTGCAACCTACAGATATGTGGTTGATATATGTTGAAAGTACGTAAATCAATGAAAGGTTCATAAAACCTTCTAGTATAAATGTTTCTAAACTGCTATCAGCAAGTAGTTATAACACTCACAATTTATAACAGTTGCATCAAACAAATCAAGATAAATATCTAAATAGCAATTAGCATTTTATTTTGTAATTAACGTCACTTTTGGAATAGTTTATCATTTACATTATACGTAATATGTAAAGACATTGGAAAAGAAGGTTTGCTTTACCGTTAAACAAGTTCAAGAATCATCTTGAAATTAGGTTGCTTGCTAACACACGATGAATAAATGAAGCTCTATTAAAGCTATGGTGAATTTTAAATGAGTTCCCCCCTACTTTTTTCTACATTTCTTAAGATATCATCTCCGGACCACGTCAGATTATTGTTGAGTAGTAAGTACATCATTTTGACTGGGTATACATTTTTGGCCGCCATCTTGGATCCGCCATATTGGATACAAAGTTTTTTTTCAAATGCAAAGGTAGGGTTGTGACCCATTATTTCCAACTAGAATTGTACGCTGATTACAATGCCGCAATTAGTTTTTAAAAATCTTGATCCGTTCTAAAGTTATGAGGACTTTTTATAACTTTATTTTTACCGCATTTTAACATTGTGCATTTACAAACTAAGACCATAATCTCAAAATAGTGCTAGATAAAGATACACCACCATTTATTGTCGACTTATTTTCACTTGGTTATGAGGGATGTAGTTTTTTCAGCCGCCATCTTGGATCCGCGATTTTAAAATGTGATCAATTAATTTAAATATGAAGGTGGTGTTGTGACCCATCATTTTGATCTAACTTTTTATGCTGAACTCAATGCCACAATCCGCTTTTCATTTGCATCTTTGGATTTTGAAATATTGAAATTTTAAATAAGAGTATTTTAATATTTCATCAAGAAAGCTTGATAACCAAAAACGGATTGCGGCATTGAGTCCAGCATAAAAAAGTAGCTCAAAATGATGGGTCACAACACTACCTTCATATTTAAATTAATTGATCACATTTCAAAATGGCGGATCCAAGATGGCGGCTGAAAAAACTACATCCGTCATAACCAAGTGAAAATATGTCGACAATGAATGGTGGTCTATACTTATCTTTATCTAGCACTATTTTGAGATGTTGGTTTTAGTTTGTTAATGCACAATGTTAAAATGGGCTAAAAATTAGGTTATAAAAATTCCTCATAAGTTTAGAACGGATCAAGGTTTTTAAAAACTAATTGCGGCATTGTATTTAGCATAAAATTATAGTTTGAAATAATGGGTCATAACCCTACCTTTACATTTGAAAAAAAAACTTTGTATCCAATATGGCGGATCCAAGATGGCGGCCAAAAATGTATACCCAGTCAAAATGATGTACTTACTACTCAACAATGATATGACGTGGTCCGGAGATGATATCTTAAGAAATGTAGAAAAAAGTAGGGGGGGAACTCATTTAAAATTCACCCTGTATACAAACTAAGTTCGCGACACATGACAATTTAAGTAAACAGAACATCATGAAGACTCCCACATCCAGAATGTCTGATCTCTGTGTTCACTAGCTGTAGTAAGGCATTCTAATCTTGGGTTTCATTTGTTGGAGAAGCCTGTTTGACAAATTCAGCTCCATCATTCTTGGAGGAAACACAAAGTTCGGCAATGAAATCTGGTACAAGGAATTTGATGTACGCTGATCATGCGAAATCAATAACTCAAAGTAAGCTTCATCGTTTATTGTTTTTCAAATTCACGAGAAGCAACCTTTACGAGTTCTCAACGAGACCTGCAATTTCGCACTATAAACCATCTTGAAACCATTGTGAGTGCGTTGTCTGAAAGGAGTAAAACACAAGAAAAACAATACCTGACTAACTGAGGATACTCCCACAGTTTATATTCTTCTTGAATGCTTCTATCACCAAAGGTGAAAAAATGATTTGTTCATAAAACATATATATATATATTCCAGATGCAGCGAAACCAGGGCCAGTGTCTAGTGTTGCTTCTACTTCCCCAACGTCTTCTACGACTCCCCAACCTCAAAACCAGACTGAGGCAACAACCCTTGAAGTGACATCTGCGATCTCTTCCGCGACAACTCCAGTTGCCAAGTTCAACGAAACCTCCACTACCTCCACTTCCTCCACTTCCTCAATTCCCTCGTCCAACGTCTCAGCCTCCTCCCTTCCGGAAGTCACAACAGAGGTCCTCCACAACGAAATCAACACAGAAAACGTCAACATGTCCGACTATCTAGATGGTAAGTTTTCATTTTACAATTATCATCAGTTCGTACATTTTCGTTTGAATTGTTGATGGAAAGGTAGAATTTACTAATTGTTTTTATATTTCCATTAATTTACAGATCTCACACTCAAAATAAACCTTTTACAAAGAGACATTTTACTTACAATGAGTTTGCGTTTAGGCCTAATACTTTTTAATCTTGTCGGTTCTTCGTCCATCGGAACTAGCAAAAGAATAATATGTTTTCAGCTCTGGCTTTATTATTTGATCTAATGATAATTTGATCTAATAATAAATAAAAATATATAGAATTTGATCTGATGATACAAATATTTGTGATGTTGAGTTTTCGTCTTAAAAAAACACTCCCATCAAAATATAACTAATTCATCTGATCGGCTGGTTATCAGAAGGTTGCCCGTTCGGTCCTGATCCTAATAAAAGTCAGCAGATTTGTCATGGTTGGACTCAGCTGTCATTATTCATTGGGATTGATTAAATGTTCCTTACTAAACAACCAGCTGATTTAAGTCAGTACCTACCTAATAAACAACAAAGCTATTGATGCAACGCTCAAACAGCAGAAGGTGGAGATGTTTCTTCAAAACACGATGCAACAATCCAAGATGCGGCAGTTTAGAGGGCCGTGACCTTGAGTTTAGCGTTCAAGGACAGCCGAGTTCCCACCATAACACGTTTGTTGCGGTAATAATAATGCCATTGCTGGCCGATTATTGTTATGAGCTTTGTGCCGACTTTATTGTTTCGGCCTTGATGTTTTGGCAGGTATTTTTTTACTGCAATTACTGTAAACAATAAGCTTTTGTAGGATTAATTGCCGAGAAAATCTAGAACAGTTGTATTCACTCGCGAGTCGTGAGCATTTGTGAGGTCAACTATTGTTTGAACATTTGTTTTGTACAGTCTTAAATCTTCTTTGTTTAAAGAAATGAATATGTAATTCAATGGTATACTAAACCGCAGCTATTTATTTAGTTGTAAAAACTCCGTATTTAGGCACTATAAAATTATTTTCTCACTATAGAAAATAATAATAAGGATGATGGATTTTGATGGAATGAAACAGAATATTTATACAAACACATCTCAGAGGGAAGAAGGTGTGGATGATAAATAAAAGGTGTGGATTCAAAGAATAAACACTTTGAAACAGTATGGGAAACAAAAATATCACGTAGGCTAATTGAACTTTGTCCTCAAAAATTAAATTTATTGAACGAGACCTATTCCTAAGCTAACTTATCAATCTTTATTTTATCACATTTTGTATGTTAAAATTACAATACAGTATATAAACAATTTTAATGGCCAAGGAAATGTTCATCATCATCATCATTTTGGATGATAGATCCATAAATCGATGGTCTTATCATACTTTTAACATACTACTTGTTTTGATCATTTCCGGATTTCTGTATAATTACTTTGAAAAACGCTCGTTTAACAAAAACGTTTTCTTGGTTTGTAGTAAACATGTTGTAACGAAGACGAATAAATAATTATACATATAAGCAACATTCATAAATATTTCGTACAAACAATATAGCAATAAAGGTATAAGAGTCTAAAAGACACACGCACAATTAAAAACATCTCTGTGCTAAAAGGAAAATAATCGAAAGAGCGTTATAATTGACAAAATTTAAGATATGATCAAGATTTTACTAAAAAGTTAAAAACATATTACAACTGAAGAATTCAATATTCTTTAACATTTGGTGAAAACAAGAATAACAAACGAAGTACCGTATTGCAATGACGTTATTGGAGTTTAACAGTGAAGATATAACATATCGTAAAAAAAAAGACTAACAGTTATAAATTCTCTGTGATAAAAGGACCAATAATCGGCCGAACCCCAAATAAAGCACGTGGACAATCGGAGCGTGAGAAGATGTAGGAATGCGGAGTGAGTACCCAGGCATCGCACGTGCGCCGCGCCGCGCCGGCCCTCCGCGCATGCCATGAGACCAGTCGCTGCCTCCGACTGACCGGTGCGCGGCCGCGGTGACGTTATTGTCATGGCCATGGTCACTTTTAACACTTTGTTTCTGCTTGCAGTCTGCGGTCGACGACTCTTCCCTCAATCAAGGATCGTGGGCGGAGATAAGGCTTCATTCGGCAAATGGCCTTGGCAGGTAATTATTTATTTTACCAATACAACCTCATCTTACGAAACTGGTTCAGGTTTTGTTTACAATACCGAAAAAATAATTGGTTTTGACTGGAGAGCTGTAGCAATATTTTTTATTACGATTAGATATTTTTTTACAAATCCCTAGATTAATCTGAATGCTACAGCATTTTTCTTATGAAAGTTATATTTGGGAGTGTTGCAGTCATCTTGTTAACAGAATTTAAATTTTTTTCCGATTTTGATCTTGATGAAATTTGGCTTGAAGGTGAAGGGTGAGATAAACTTGAATGAGTTCGTGAACCAGCATGATCATACCATGGTAACGGGGTTTTATGCAATAAAAATTTGTTTTCCCCATTTCCAACCCTCGAAACATGAAATTTCCCAATTTCTATCCAAACTATATTCTAGCTTAAAAAAACAAATAATTTAGTAGCCTATTTTGAGGTGTTTTGTATGGTTAATTACGGTGAAAATTCAAAAAAATTGTAAACTTAAATTTCCTAAGTTATTCTTATGAAGAATAAGTAAACTGTTGAAGTTTTCATTGCTTATGCATGCAATTTTTTATCAAACTTGACAAATTAATTTATTTTATACTAAGCTACTAATATTTTACAAAAAAAAACACACTTTATTAACCTCCCTGCAGCAGCAAACCTGCATGATATTTATGGTACTCATTAAACCTTATGTTATTCAACTAGATTTAAGTGAAAATAAAATCAGGAAAACGGAAATTTGCTTGGTCTGCAGGTTTGCTGTGATGTGGTATTTTATCTATAAAAATAATCGTAATTGTGTATTTTTAGATTTCACTGCGCCAATGGAGAACTTCCACCTACTTACATAAATGTGGAGCAGCTCTTTTGAATGAAAACTGGGCCATCACAGCCGCTCATTGTGTGGAAAAGTGAGTAAAATGACCGATGAATGGTGAATAATCATTCTTATTTCAGATTGAACAATGCAGTAAAGTTGACTAGTGTCACAATGCAATTGCTGAAAGTTACCTTAAAAAGTAGGTTTATATGAATACAACTACCCAATGTAATAAAATAAACATCTCTAAAATTATAACCTTTGGACAAGTCAACCTGGCATAGGATATATAATTTTATATTACAAATCACCTTAAAATCGTGAAATGTTGAAGTTTATTCTTTTTCATCCTATTTCAGTGAAAATTAAAAATCATCTTGCATTTTGCTTTTTATAGCGTAGAGTGATAAATACACACAACCAGGATGAAACTTGAATTCTTGAGAAACTTGTGTAAAACCTATATTTATACAAACCATCTTCATGGATATGTAAAACAACATTTTGACTATGATACAATGGTTTACGGACAGTAAAAGAATGAAGTTTCAAATGTTGAATGGGTGTTAATTTAATTGTTAACAGTCTTAATATATTTTTTTAATATTTAAAAATTTATATATCCTTTTTAAAAACATCTACCATTATATTAACTAAATGGTGCTGTGATAAGTTAAAAATAAACTTTATCATCTAGATTTGACTCATAATGAAATAAACAAATTGTTACTACACCTAATGTTAAATAACCATACTATTATCAATGCAAAAAACATTCAAAATTATTTTGACTATTAGAGAAAATAGTTTAGAAAACAATTTTCTGTAGAGAGGAAAAAGAATTTTGACATTAGCCCAGTCTGTTAGTGTTTCATTTCACCATGTACTATTCTAACAATATACAGTATATTGGCTACAGCTTGTTCATAAGAAAGGAATGTCTACCCTAGTATTTAAAGTTCAATATTTTTATCAGTAGACTTAAACAAACCTTTACAGCGTTGCCCCGAGCGATCTTCTTCTTCGACTTGGAGAGCACGATCTATCGCAGGAAGATGAACCTTATGGTTATCAGGAGCGCAGAGTCCAGATAGTTGCGTCTCACCCTCAGTTTGACCCAAGGACCTTCGAGTATGATCTTGCTCTCCTGCGTTTCTACGAACCAGTCACCTTCCAACCCAACATTATCCCGGTCTGCGTCCCACAAGATGACACTAATTTCGTAGGATCTACCGCATATGTCACAGGATGGGGAAGACTTTATGAAGGTATTTCCTGATTTTATGTATTGTTTCATTTGGTAGCAAATTCAGTTGATGAAAATTAAGATTTGTTTAGTATATTTTGTAAGTTAAAGATTTTTGGCAACATATCCTGCGCACAACACAGTATGACCGTGTATCATACTGTACAGTATCATACTGTAACAGTTAACAGTATGACCACCTTATTAAGGCTTGAGACATTTATTACAAAACCCTGTTACTAAGCTAGTCCCTTGAACAATCAGCAAGTGATATAAAACCATAGGGTGACTTCAGGGCCGTATTTCCCTAATGCTGGACACATCAGTTGCCGGGGACCTCATAGATCCTAAATACGGCCCTGGGTGACTTTAGAGGAGAGGTGAAGAGAGAAAAGAGGAATATTGAGGAGGAAAAAGAGGAAGAGGTTTTATGAGAAAAGAAAAACAATTGTTTATTGCAGTCTTGAAAAGTATTGACCAAAAAATCAAACATCACACTGGTTTTAAATTGAATATGTAAAATAAAGTAAAAATCAAGACAACCTCTACTACTGCCGTGAAATTTTACAATATACTGTTTTCACACAAACATTGATGTACCTATTTCAGATGGACCCCTTCCTAGTGTTCTTCAAGAAGTGTCTGTGCCTGTGATCAACAACACTGTCTGTGAGACAATGTATAGAGCTGCAGGATACATCGAACATATCCCAGAAATTTTCATTTGTGCCGGCTGGAAGAAAGGAGGCTTTGACTCTTGTGAGGTAAATACAAATCACATCAGCATTTCAAAGTACATCAGCGAGCCAAATTTAAATTGTGTATACAACACTTAGGTTTTAATTCACAGTGGATTAATTGTTTTTATTTGTATAGTATCTGTAAACAAACAAAAAAAATATTTTATTAAGAAGCTGGCAGTCTCTTTTAACCTTCAATTGTGTTGTCCATGTGTGATTCAGGTTGGTGCATGGAACGTACTAAGCAAAACAAGGAGTGAGTCGGAACAAGAATGAACCTTTTTTATTTTTTAAGTGGTGGTACCATGACACAAACCCCTCCTCACTTATCAGCCTTAGTTTTTCAATCTGTCACACTACCAATTGAGCCATGACTCACCTCCTTAAATCAGTTTTTATAACTAATTAGTTTTTGTTGGTTTTTATACATTTAATAAACTTGAGAAATATAGAATTATATTTTTGTATCCCAAAAAATATGCTGTAAAAATCAAATTTTGTTTGTCCTCAGGTGAAAGATGACATATTTATAAGTTTATAAGACCTCTGTAACAAATGTTTCTGTGTTGATGCATTTGACATGAAAGTTTCTACGATGTTCTAGGGAGACTCAGGGGGGCCCATGGTGATCCAACGCCCAGACAAGCGATGGCTGCTGGCGGGGGTCATCTCCTGGGGTATCGGCTGTGCAGAGCCAAACCAACCAGGTGTCTATACCAGAATATCTGAGTTCCGAGGATGGATAAACCAGATACTTCAGTTCTAAATCAGAAAAGACAGTGTTTTGGTTTAGCATTCAACTCAAGAAGAGAAAAACAACGTTCTAGATCTACCTGTTTGGAATGATCTTAAAAACTTCTTTAGTGCCAGCTGGTGATCTAATCGCGGTGAAATTTCTGATAGTTTTATCAAATACAATTGACATGTATATTTCTCTGTTTTTGTAGAGAAAATATTTTCAGTCAATTTGACTAAAAATATACAATTAGACTTAAACACTACGTATTTTTTTATTGTAAACTTTGAACAAGTTTTGCCAAAGTGTACATTAGATATTACCAGTGGTCAAGTAGAAGAGCTAGGCAAAGGCGAAAGAGTCGACTTAACGAGATCCTGTACTTAATGAACAATCGATTGTGATTTAAATGTTCGGTCCGATCAGTTGTTTGGGTACATTTTACAATTTGGACTACCTGTTGTTAGAAGTAGTAATTTATTAAGTATTACTTGAACATGTGATATATTTACTACTTTGTTGTTTATATTGAGACACGCTTGTATATTTTGTTATTTAATTTTGGTGTTGCTCTTGTTAGTATTTATTTATTTATTATATAGTTCACACATCTCAATAGCAATTTATTGCATATATAATTATTTATAATGAATTAATATGATTGTGATATAACTTTTGTAACTGATAAACTACTTCTTATTAAAGAAGTAGTTCAATTGGTCATTTTTTGTATTTGGATACTTTAATTTAATTTTAAACATTGCTGCAATAATTAGGTGCAGTTTTCCAAAATCCAAAGTTATTAACCTCTCAATAGTCTTTTTTTTATAATAATGAGTATTTAGGAGGACTTTCTTTCTTAGGGACCCTGTATATCATTATTATACTACTCACTACTGATCCATAAATATTTGAGTGTAAAGATTATTTTCTAGATATGTAGCAACTCAGTTAGCATAAAAGTTATTCAACTCCACTGAAATGGTCTAATTCTGCATAATTTTTTTTTTATTAAATCATCATTAATACACGTTTAAACTTACAAACCTCTAAGTTTAAATTTATTATGGCAATGATAATTTTAATTGTATTACATGTATTTCTCTTGATGGTAAAATATACAGCTTTAACCCTAATGAGCCAGCACTTTTGCCTTAAATGTGTTAGGTACTGAAATAAATTGTATCTGGCTTATGCAATATCAAATGAGTCTGAAAACGACTGACAGTTTTTAAAAGAATTTTACAAGGAGGCATACCCAGTATTCCTTCAAACCAACTCTAGAATAAGATTGGGTTTTATTGGAAATAATTTATGAGTCACCATAAAAAGCTGTAAATTATATTTGGTAACAGGCAATTGTATCATTCCATGACTGTAGAACTCAAGCTAGACATTCATCTTCACAATTAGTGATGCCATGATTTTCTGCAATAGGATTGTGATAGTTTTAATTTTACTAAGCATTGAATTATTTTTATGTAAGATAGTGTTTTAGTGATATTTTCTATCCTTTTCAAATTTCTTGATTTAATTCATCTTAGTATAACTCGTTTAATTTGTTCTCAATCATCCGATAAAAACAAATTAACATGTCCAAAAGTGTTCAAAAAGTGTAATATATAGATTTTTATTTTTATTTTCCAATCAAATCATTGATTTAATTGTATATTTGTAGCCTAGCAATGCTCTTTTTATTCTTAATATATCAACTAGAGTTTTTTTTTTACATTAATATATTTGCTAAAACTTTCTTAATGGAAAAAACAAATATAAGTGATTAAATGGCGATTGTAAAATATGTTATGTCATAGTTTGTGGATAATTTGTAATACTGTAGTTTACAGAAAAATTGTGTCGAAAATTAAACAGTTACAAGAAAACCCTATATTAACAAATAAAGAAACAGTGTTTGTGTAAATTTAGTCAGAACCTAGAAAAAAAGATTTTACTACATATACATATGATACAAATTTTCAATACATGGAAGGTAATAAGTATAATTTAAGTATTTCTTTTTTGTTTACTGTTTATTAGGTTTTTTATATTTTTTTACTCTGACTAGCTCTCTGGTGTGTTTATTTTTAACAAATATCTAACTTGATTATAAATAAATATGCCTAAAATCAATTGGATGCATCTGTAAACCAACCTGTTTTTAAATCATGGCATCACACTCAATTCTTGATTTTTTTTCTCACTCAAAACTATGAGCGGTTTTATAAATAAATCTGTTTTGCTTTATTTATTAGGATTTGCAGTTTCATTTCAAATCAACCTGTATAGTTAACACCCTAAATACCCTAATACAATCCACCCAGCATAGGATGCGTCTGATTTACACATGTGAGGCAGGTAAAAATCCCAAACTTTGTTTCTAAGAGGCACCCAGCAAAGTCCTTGGAGTTAAAATCTTAACTACCATTGCTACTTACCACCACTGTTAATTACTACCACTCATAACATCAAACCATCGATAATGACAGTGACGATGAGTGGCTCTCCAGAAGCAAGGATAAACAAGGATAAGGTCTAGGATAACTTCATGTAAGTTTAAAACATGAACATGAACATGAACATTTAGCCATGAAGATGGACAAAGCTTAAGAGGTTCAATAGATAATCTGTCGCCAAGTTGATAGGAGCTGGAATAGAGCTTGACCAATTCACAACCGGCTGATTAAAATCACCCAGAAGTAAAATTTTGGTTTTAGGGTCACACGAAGCACTTAACTCTTCTTAAGAGTCAGCATAGGAGGAGAATAAATGAGATGGAGATTAAATAAGAGCCTCCAATGATGTAAGGCTGACCAAGGACATTAGCAGAAACAAAGACACACTCTAGGTTGTTTGCAGAGGAAGGAAGCTCATAGGAAGGATAATACTTATGCACAGAAACTAGAGCCCCATCTCCAGAGACTTTCATTGGAGATCTATCACACCTGAAGACATTAAAATCTTGAAGGTCATAGCTAAGGAGTGAATATTTTTGGTGATAAATTGGTTTCAGTGAGCACTATTATTTTGTAGATACTTGAACAAACAGACAAGTTACTCTCTTAAAATAAAACATGCAATTTAGAACAAAGGCCATTGACATTTTAGTATAAGTCAACATGTGTTGAGAACCAATGTTGTCAACAAAAGACTTAAACAATTTGTTACGAACTTTGGTGTCAACGTAGCTTTTAAAACAATCATGTAAACATATGTTTACAATTTCTTATCATAAACACTGATAACTATTGAAAATATTTTGAAAAAGTAGTGTTTATTTTTTTATTTTTCATAAATTTTCAAAACACATGTTGAACTCTGGAGTTTACGGGACCAAAAGGTGTCACATTTTAGCATGGGCAACACTGCTGGTATTGTAAATTAAGTAGTGAAGATTGTAGATAGTGTAAATACTAATTTCATGCGGTTCTCTCTGGAAGACCAAGAATATAGTCAGTGGCGGTTTCAAAGTGGGTGGGGGGCTATAGGGGCTCCCCCATTGGACCCTGGTAAAATAAATTGAATCATACATTTTGTCCTAAAACATAACAAAGAATTTTGGACAAGGTAAAATGGCTTTAGAAAGCCATTAACAGCCTTAAAAATACAAAATTTTACAGTGGAGGACCCCTGGAACCCCTTTCTTTCTTGGGGACGTGGAATTTTGGCACTCGTTACATTTTCACCGTAGTGAAATATTATAAACTCTTGGTAGCTTGAGTTTCCTGCAGAAAAGGATCATAGCTGGAGAGAATTGAGTGGAATCATGGATTGCGCTATTCATAGCAAACCTACATTCCGGTAAATTCTGATCCCAGGTTTTGTGATCATCTCTTACATACTGTGAAATCATAGTGTTTAAAACACGATTATATCGTTCTGTAGGATTAGATTGGGGACTGTAAGGGGCTGTATATTCCAATTTAATTTTCCATTCATATGCCATTTGTTTGAAAATGTTAGCTGTAAATTGAGTGCCATCGTCACATCGTAGAATCTCAGGAGCTCCATATCTTAATAAAACCATATCTCGAAACTTTTCTAATACTTGTTTAGCAGTTGCTGACTTTAACGGAGTACCTTCAACCCATTTTGAAAAATCGTCCTGGATGACCAGTGCAAATTTATTTCCCTTTTTAGATCAGGATAATAGTCCTATTATGTCGGTTGTAAGCATGTAAAAATTAATGAGTTACACTTCGTTTGTAATATTTGAATTAACAAAATTGTCTTATAATTATCTTTGTTCCTCCAATTACTTTTCCAAATAAATGAACGTGTTTGTTTATGAAAGATTACAACAACAATATATGAAACCAGTTGAAATATTGCAGCATTAAAATAAAGTCAACATAAAATCTTACGTAGTCGTTTATTCATTTAGAACTTACATCTGCCAATAAATATTATTCAATCAACGAACATGTAAATTCACATTATAAAAATAATCAGTTCAGGTAAAGAAAACATGGCAAATTCACATTAACCCTTTGAGTTGCAAAGATTATTTATTGATTTATTCATCCTTCGTTTAATGATGTTTTCTCATCATCTTATGGACACACTCACGGTAAGGATGGATGGATAAAAAGTGGCAAAATTAGTTGGTTGATTTTAAGTGCAACTTACAATGAATTCACCTGTCCCGTCTACCAACACAGATCTCAACCGTTTAGCGTTTATGGTGAAAACTTATATCACGATCTATTACGGACAGGTTTCCTCATGAGCTACACACAAAACCAAGATTCAAACCCTCCATATACAGTAATTGTTTAGTCAATAAGAGATATTAATTAGTAATATTTTTAGCTATAAGAATTTCTACCAACAAATCAATATTTTGAGTTTTAATATTTTCGTAATGTAATCTAGTTTTATCTGAGTGAGGCAGACAGAGATAATAAATAAATAAATAAATAAAAACGTCTTTATTAGCCAGCGTTTCTCTGATACATGTCAGTTTTTCAGAATAACTTTTGTCATTAACCTATTGCACTTACAACTAAACATTCATATCTTTTAAAAACCTTTTAATCTTAATCTTAAAGGTATTGTTGGATGCAACGGTT